TTATTTTGTTTTTCTACACTGTGAAGTTCATAACTATATCCAATTTGAGTTATTTTTAATCATTTGTACGTGGCCACTGCTCTTATTCAATATGTCTTTAATTTAACCAAATCAATGAAATTAAGCAATTTAATTTTTTAAAATGTACTGAATTTAACCAAATCAATGAAATTAAGCAATTTAATTTTTTAAAATGTACTGAATTCAAATTTAGTTTATTATTTACTTAAACATACGTTATTATGGATATTGTTTGAAACTTATACTTTGAAAACTTTTAAAAAATTGACTGATTTACGTTTTGACACATAAAAAAAAGTTAAAAATAACAAAATATTATTTAGCTCAAAGTTTTGAGTTACTTTTTTTGCTCCTTTGATATTTAATAGTGTATATTATTTTTATGGTTAAATCTGCTTTTAGACTCAATAAACTTATCGAAATTTTTACAAACTTCGTCTTTGTACAAATCTATTTATTACAAGACTGCGCAAAGGACGATTGATTTCATGAAATTTAAAGATCCTATCGAGAAATTTATCTTTAAATCATAAATATTCATATCATAAATATTATTTAAATGTGAGTGACGAATATTACTTTCAGTTATTTCTCTTAATATTACATTTCGATGAAGTACCAAAGATCATATGCTGCTGATATAGAAAATATAATATTATAATGTTATTCGAAATTCAACGATTGAAACTGGAAATTCATGAGATTTGAAGCATCTACATACCTATTTATGCGATCGAAAAGATAGCTCAAATATCGAGATATATATATTTCAACGATAATAACGTCCAATAATATCGCCGCGGGGCCACGTTCAATATTCGATTTCAATATCCGCGAACGAGGGCGTGCGTGTGCCCGATGTATGTTACAATTTTATGCTGTTACTTCGATTTCGCCACGAATCTCGCTCTCAAAACTGCCGCCAAAGCGTCGGCGTGATTGACCCAGATATCAAGTTTGAACGAGCATTTTCTCACGCGACGAAATCGAAAGAAAGAGATTTCGAAACATGAAATTTCAAAAATTTCCGAAATATTTAACGCTGATTACGGCAAACATACTTACGAAATTGTTGTTCGCAATAATGTATCGCGTAAACGGTATATCCGAAACATGAAAATTGATTTACTGCTGTCTGATTTTTGATACATTGCCTGAAAAAGGGCGATGACTGCGTTTAGCAAAAAAAGCTTATTGTAACAGCTTTACATACACAACTGTTGTATAAAGATCTTTAATATGATTGGCTTATATATTTAGATCAGGTGAGGAATTAAGAGGAATTAAAGATAAGAACCAATTATAATGGCTGCGTTCAATAGAAAAAGCAACTTTGTAACTGTTGTAAGATTCTTGAATATGATTGATTTATATATTTAGATCCAGTGAGAAACTAAGAGCAAGACTAATCATATTAAAGAATTTTACAAAAGTTGCAAAGCTGCTTTTTTCTGCTGAACGTAACAAATAATATAAGAATCTTACAACAATTGCAAAGCTTTTTCTGCTGAATGAAACCATTGCCTGATCACCAAGAAATTTTCCGGAGCGCATTTTGCTCATCATTCGCGTGCACAAGTTCACAGAGTTTCGTTTATGTGTTATTAATTTGCCGACGAATTATAGACGCGCTCGTGTTAGTTGTGCTAATGTGTGTAATGCACGATGAAAGCACGATGTAAGCAGCGTCGAAACGTTATAGAACATAAAATATCTTTCACAAATGGGAATTAGAGCCGGTGCAATGGTATTATAATGCACAATTATTATATCACGACCATAAGGGAGAGACTCGCTGAATTATTAATTTACTGCAATCCTCGAACTTAATGTGCGGCAATGAAGAATTAACGCAGGCGACGAACCAGTTCTAATAGATTCAAATGCAGGTACGAAATAAAATAATAAACATAAAGGAAATGAAGTTGCTTTTCAGTGAGTTGTTAAAAGAATTTCTTTCTTTGTTGAAAATTTCTGGATTTTTATCATATTTTCAATAGATGTTTTACATATTGAGAATAAAATCCTCGACAAAAAAAGAAATGCGATTGATGTTATGGTTTTTGATTGATTCAGATAGTAGTGGGAATTTGATTTCATTAAAGTAATCATTGCAATATTTTTATTTTTATGTTTATTTAATTCCTTCCAAATAAAATTTTTTCTTAAAAAATTTCTACCCATGAATATATGAGTTTAGTCGAAAAATTAAGGGATGATAAGTATAAAGGCAGTCATTTTCTCTTCAGATAATACATATGTCGATTGCGTTTTTTTTTTTTATTTAGGATCCTAATTGAAAGAATCTTCATGTATTACGATTCCAATTCTTTGTATAAATGGTGTGCAAAAAATACGATTATTCAACGATACAAATGCAGTTGTAAAATGATATTACAAATTATTATATTGACGATAGAAGCAATTAAAATCCATGTATTTAAATGTCTTACACCTAAAATTACGCATGTAAGTTGCACACGCCCGTGTGCATCAACCTGATCCTTACATAATTCTCAACACGTACCTACTCTCGTGTAAGAAAGTTACATTCACGCTAGCATTAAACGTCGTCACGAAGAAATCGATGGATTATTGCTGGACTGCATGCAGGAAGCTTTACTTCAAGTTCTGAACATTTTTCTCTTCACGAATTGTTCCTGCAATTATCAATTAATTTCGCTCAATATCCGCGGAAAGAAACTCGTTATTTTTCTCAGTCTCCGATTCAAGACATATTTCACTAATCGTAACACACCCGGTATATATCTGCGACCTATATTCATATCTCGCATTTTACCCTGAGTATATGTAAATAATTATCAGCTCGCGATAGAGCCCGCGCGTTAGAAAAAAGCAAATAGAGCTGCTTGTCGCTGAGCGGATAGGCAAATATGGGAGAGTCCAGGGAGGGGAGGGGAGCCCTCGTATTTGTTTCCAGTTCGATTATTATTACACGATTGCGTGTGTATGTATGTATGTATGTATGTATATATGTTCAGTGTATCGGGTGCGTGATGCGCGGAAACGAAAAAAAAAGATGAGCGTTGTGACGGCGCTCGTTTGTTCCGACGATCCGGCGACGTTTTCCGCCGTGCCATTCATGCGCGTTGCACCCTGTTTACTGCTTCTCCTTTTTTTCCCCTCCCTTAACAACGACAGGAGAAACAAACGGCATCCCGTCCCGTGGACGATAGGTACAGTCGCGCGCGTGAATCCTCGCCGTTGTCGGCTCATTATCTCGATCGCCGATCGAGAATGGCGACGTTTATCAGACGAGCGAGATTTCCCGTCAGGAGGAGATACAGTGAGTTCCACTTTATTTATTTCTCCGTGTCTTTTCTGGACGACGAAGGCAATCTTTTCCTGCCGCGAGTTATTACATTACCGAGTTCGGCGATCCGTACACTGATTATTACTCATGCGAGTAATTAATAACCGGTCGTTGATTGCACGCGAGTGATCTTCCTTACACGGTAGTGATCTTCCTTTTCTTGCGCTTGTCTGGAGTAAGCGGAATCATCTTGCTCCGAAATGAACGGTCTCCGATTGCCGTCAAATTACTGGTGTTTATGATGTTGAACCGAACCTCTTTCGTGGAGCAATCGGAGCTGCGATGTTCAACTTTCGAAGCCTTATCTTTTTACATAAATTAATAACTATATTTAACAAAATAATCTGGTAAAAATCATGTATATTATAGTTTTATGTTTACAAAACGTTCAAAAGTGAGTATTCAAGTGAGTATTTCCTCACTCATATTACCTCTTTTCTCTAAAATTTTTAGGGTGAATCTCTGAAGAGAAATCTCATTTTTAAGGATTGAAAATTGAGCCACTCTTTTTTAAAACTGATTCAATTTTCTCTCTTTAGGGTGAGATTCTTTCACTCCAAAGAATTTAAAGAATTAAATGCGAATATTTGAAAAATGCTTAAAAATCTCTTTTGATATGTAAGCTTAATTTTTTCTATAATCGCAATACTTTGGAGTAATTTTAGGAGTAACATATTTATTCCATTTAGAGCCAATTATTTCATCTTTGAATAAACTATGTGATAATGTTTATCTAACGGATAAACAAAAGAGTAGATAAGAGAGTAAGAGAGTAAGAGAGTGAACTAAAATTTTTGTCAAAAGGGATGAAACAACTCCTTGATAAATTAAATAGAATTAAATAAACACTTCACTAATAAACGAAGTAATTTAGTTTTCTTAATTGTTGCCATCCCGTAATTATTTCGAGCTGTAATATAATATTTGACAAATAATACTTTTGACCAAGTAATGCTTTATTTATTTTCCAATATTTAAAGAGAGTCTCTGATAGAGGATACATTGATAAACAATTGCGCATCCATTGATTTTTCTTTCAAAAAATCCAATATTAATTATCCATAATATACTTCTAATTTCGGAACATTAAATATCTCTTGAGATAGAAACAATGCTGAGAATATCACATTATGTAATCAACACATTTTTACGAGGTTGTATTTCAATTGTATACAACATAAAAATTTCTGATTCAACCAAAAAAAAGAAAAAGAAGTTGTGTCGAAAGTACTCATTGCGTGCGATTCTTTCCCCTTCTTTCTCTTAATGTCTTTTATATATAATACACACACCGCTTATTACGTGATTTCGCGCAATTGTATAATGAATTCTCCGACAACGAATGAATGTCAGATCCGAACCTTGATTCCCGCGACGATCCATAACGATCTGTTGTTTTATGATGTATGTGTAAATCGATCAATCAACACGTGGCTCAAATTTCGCTCCTGTTGTATTCAAATTAGAGGAAGGGCACATTTAGGAAGAACTTATTTCACCAAATTTTCTTATAATCTATTCGACCGATTTATTTTTACGAATATTCATCTTGATTTTTTCCTCAATTTATTCATATTCTATCACTTAACTTATATACTTCTCGATGGATCGAATTACTCACATAGAGAAATGTTTTGTATTTCAGGTAAATCTCCGTTCTTCCCGAGTCTCGATGAGCAAGGACTGGAGGATCCGAATGCGCCGAACCAGTTGGACGGTGTCGGCGTTGGCGTCGGAGTAGGCGTCGGCGTCGGCGTGGGTGGCGGGATAACGGCGTCTCAAGCGGCGCCACTCTCGTCGCCAAGTCGGAGCAGTCCGCACAGCCAGGGCAGCGAAACCGGCGAGCGTTTCTCGAGGAAAGTCTTCGTCGGCGGATTACCGCCTGACATCGATGAAGGTACGCAGTTTATATTATATCATCTAAGATTGGTTATTGGCGGGACAAGACGTAACATAGTGACGTAATCACAATACATCTTCTCAATTCAGACGAGATCACAGCCAGTTTCCGCCGCTTTGGTCCGCTTGTTGTGGATTGGCCGCACAAGGCAGAAAGCAAATCCTACTTCCCTCCGAAAGGTTACGCATTTCTGCTATTCCAGGTACGTTTTCGACTCCTTCCGCTTCTTTTCTCATTTTCAAATTTTGTGAATTAATAAAAATAAACATACTGACAGTAATTAAGAAAAAGATTGAAAATAAAAATAAACTAATAAAAATTAATGATAATCGAATGTGCCATGTGATTATTCCAGGACGAGGGTTCGGTGCAACAGTTGATAGATGCCTGCATCCAAGACGAGGACAAGCTTTACCTTTGCGTGAGCTCGCCCACGATCAAGGACAAGCCCGTGCAGATCCGACCTTGGCGACTCAGTGACGCCGACTTTGTGCTGGACGCCTCCATGCCGCTTGATCCGCGAAAGACAGTCTTTGTCGGCGGGGTGCCGCGGCCGCTCAAGGCAGTCGAGCTCGCGATGATCATGGATCGGCTTTATGGTGGTGTCTGTTATGCTGGCATTGACACTGATCCTGAGCTCAAGTATCCCAAAGGTGCCGGCAGAGTCGCCTTCAGTAATCAGCAAAGCTACATAGCTGCCATCTCAGCCAGATTCGTACAGCTGCAGCACGGCGATATTGACAAAAGGGTAAGTATGAAGAAGAAAAATCTTATTTTTTGAAGATTTATTTGAACGAATAACATCTTTAAACGATATTTAGTTTGATCTTATTTCAAAGTCATTTTAAGTAATATTTTAAGATGCTAATATGGCTCTATAATAGTTCATGCTATCTCAAGATTGTACTTAAAACGTTCTTAAATATAAGAATGGACTATATAAATATCGGTCTAAATGAAATATTTAGGACAAGAATAGAAGATCTAAATCCATGATTAGTAGAGCTGTTTTAAAGATGGGACATCTTTACAAATTACGAACATTGTTCTTCAAGCAATTATTCTTATTCTAAATACTTTGAGAATTTCATACTTTCTCTAATCATATAATAATCTTTCGAATAGGTTGAAGTCAAACCATATGTTCTGGACGATCAGATGTGTGACGAATGTCAAGGCCAGCGTTGCGGAGGCAAGTTTGCACCGTTCTTCTGCGCCAACGTCACCTGCCTACAGGTACATTTCACCACAATCGGCACATTTTTATTAATAAATAGTGAAGAAAGCTATAAAGTAAAAGTAGATTTTTATTATCAATTAATTTGAAGCTAAAATTTGAAATTTTCTATGCAAATGTCATAGCAAAAAGCAACTCCATTAAAAAAATTAAATTTTCGGAGATTTCACTGAATTTCACTTTTATTAAAAAACTCTATTCATTTGATTCAAAGCAAAATTATATTTGTATCTTTTAATAATAAATTGATGGGAGATTTTCTTTATTAAGCCTTTATTTTAATAAAGGCTTAATTATGCCTTTGTTTTAATGAAATAATTATTTTATTGAATTAATTTCTTAATAAAATTTCTCTTTTCTCTTGTATTAATAAGAGAAAAGATTAAATTTTTTGAATTTAATTATGAAGTCTGAATTAAATAATACTATCTATTTTCAGTACTACTGCGAGCATTGCTGGGCAACTATTCACTCCCGGCCAGGTCGGGAGTTCCACAAGCCGCTGGTGAAGGAGGGCGCGGATCGGCCTCGGGCCGTGCCTTTCCGTTGGTGTTAACCCCAGCTGCGTTGTCCCTAATTATCTCGCAGCCCTAGCTAATTAACTACCACCTCTACCAATATCTCCCCACCCTCCCCTCACGTGCCCCAACCCTCACTTCCCTCCGCCTCCCATATTACTTACTTACTTACTTACCTACAACAAGAACACAGCCTCAAAACTGCTATTACTACTACTACTATTACTACCACCACTCGATCGTTACGTACTATCACTACTCTATTCTACTACCACTATTATTACTATTACTACTACTACCACAACTATTCTATTACAAATTATTACTACTACTACTACTACTACTACTATTACTACTACTACTACTACTACTACTACTACTACTACTACTCCACTGCTACTACTTCAAGTTGTACCGATTATACTGGAGGAAGAAACCAGCCGCTGTTGCCCGCCAATCGATGCAGGCTCTTGGCGTTACTCCGATCTTCAACCTCGCATCCATAACGACTTGCTAACGATCACTGATATCATCGTCGGGCAAAATTATGTCCATCTAAATGACTTTGCCGAACCGGAAACGGATCTTGCACCCGAAGGCGCCAGAAGGCAGCCGAGAAAAGAGGGAATGATCGGATCCACGCCAAGCCGACATCGTCGAGCCGAAAAAACGAAGAAAAAAATGAAGAAAAATACACGCCGAGATACAGAAGAGAACTGGACACGGATTCTCAGTATATCGATTACTCGTACACGTATAATCCTATCTGTCTGCGCTGTAAAATGCACCGGTTCTGTCCGAAAGATCGAGTATTGTTAGTTACCGCGAGTCTCGAGGAGCGAGCAAGCGAGGGAGGGGCTGCCGCCGCCGTCGCCACCGACCTCGTGTACGCACCCCGCGCCAATTGTCGGCGCCAATCCTCCTCGAGTATTTACCGAAATCACCGGCAGCGCGATTGCGATACGGATCCGCCTTGTGCTTGCGTCTCGTTCTACCGCGGATCACCCCTTCCAAGTTCGACTACCGCATATCGCGAGAAGGAAGAAGTTTCTTTTTGTGTCGTCCATCCCGATCGAGCGAGATTTTGATTTTGCGAAGCGCGACCCGGATGGACGTTGGCGGACTTCTCGATAAACGGAGCTCGTGTTTTCCCACCGATATCATCCATTTGGACGAAAGCCCGAACGAAAACCCGCGCTCCCGAGCGACGTAGTGATTCCCGCGCGACGAATGTTCGTAAGAAACGCGAGTACCTGATTCGACGCGAAAGTGTGTTGCCAGAGTGAGCGAATGAAATTGGAAGAGCATGCGAGAAAGAAAGAGATGAGGAAAGAATGAGGGGGTGATAGTGGAAGCAGTGACATCAGAAAAGACGCGTAGGTGATGAGGGCCGGTGGGAAACCTGGAAGAGGGTAATAGGGAGAGAGGATAGAGATGATATAAAGAGAGTGACAAATCGTCCGCATTGGATGTTAATCAGTAATGAAAAAAGCCACGCTTCAACCTGCTGTGTAGGTAATTCTCTGTATCACAAACCCAGAACACACACATACACACACATTCATACAAACATGTACACATATACACGGTTTTCTAGTTATTAAGAACTTATTAAAAATATGTTACATAGGTGCGTTGTGTAATGCGTTTCTTGTATGGATAACGCAACTGCGCGCTCATAGGGAAGCATTCGACAAAATGATTTTGTACTAATTAACTTATTCAAGTGAGAAGAAAATAACGCGTAGATGAAAACATAAAAGAAACATAAATAGGGGAACTGAAAGTTTAGGGAGAATAGGTGTCACACGGGTGACGAAAGAAGAAGTAAACGGAAATCGAAATAATTTAATTTTTCGATCGCGAACGGCTATATATGACATCGTGGCGGCGTGCTCCAGGTTGTCCAAGCCTGCCTAAGCTAACATCCGCGTGCCGAGTTCTCTACCAATTTTCTTTCCCAAAAATCGATGTGAGTTACCTTCACGAACCTTCGCGCGAGAAACGAAAGGGTTGCGAAGTCGAGTCTGCGAAGAGGCCCCGCTACTCACTCGCGGGGAACGCGAGGATCGAGGATTGCTGCTACCGTCGATGACGAATTTTACATTTTGACTTTATTATTACTACTACTATGTGCAATATAAACGGTCACTCTTCGAGGTTTACGCTGACGAGAACGATCGGCAATACGCTAAGCGTATTTTCGGAATGCGACGTGCGCGCGATTTCTCTCCTCCTCGAAAACATTCGATAGTAAACACGGAATGTTCGCGAACGTCCGCGTCTAAACTTGTACATCCCTCTTTTTCACGAAACGAGCGGTGTACCTCGCAGATCCTTTTTTGTGGCGAAACGATCTCGCGCTCGACTTCGCGGAAGATAAAAAAAAGAGAGACGCTTGTGGGACGCAAAGGGAGTGATGTCGTTTCTCGAAACCAAAGTAGCGATAGAAACCGTGATTCGCGGAATATCGGAGCAGCGTATTATACATAGAATGATCGTATCTAATTACTCTCTTCATACGTCCGATAGATGATTTGCAAGAGTG